CGCTTCTTCTTGGTGTGCATGTGCTTCCTGACCTTCATCCAGTCCCTCATGGTCTCCGGCTACCTGAGCAGCGTCATCACCACCATCGAGCGGAGATACAGCCTCAAGAGCTCGGAGTCGGGGCTGCTGGTCAGCTGCTTCGACATCGGGAGCCTGGTGGTGGGGGTCTTCATCAGCTACTTTGGGGGGCGCGGGCGGAGGCCACTCTGGCTGGCTGTAGGGGGCTTCTTCATCGCCCTGGGGGCCGCGCTCTTCTCCTTACCTCATTTCATCTCTCCGCCGTACCAGATCCAGGAATTGAACTCCTCTGTCAGTAACGAGGGCTTGTGTGTGACTGGCAATGGCACCGCCAAAGAGCAGTGGGACTCGCCGGCCTGTGTCAAGGACTCCGGCGGAAACGACCACTCTCTCTATGTAGCTTTATTCATTTGTGCCCAAATCCTCATTGGCATGGGCTCCACACCCATCTATACCTTGGGACCAACCTACTTGGATGACAATGTCAAGAAAGAAAACGCCTCGCTTTACCTAGGTAAGGCATCTAAGTACTGGTGTGCTTTGGAGGCTGAACCCCAGGTCTCTCTGAGGGACCAGTTACAGGTACTTCTGCCCTGTTCCTTCTGAACAACATCTGTGCTAAGCTTTCCATCTGAAGTGAATTTCTGAAGTAAAATTGCCGTGATTTTTCTATTTTAAAATGTTTTGGGGAGCAGTGAACAGCAGGAAAAGGTGAAGCTAACGTAGCATGCATAAAAGCGACTGTACTAGCATGGGGAGCGGGACAGCAGAGAACTTCAGGTTCTCCAATACTTTTCAGCACTTGGCACGAGCCAGTCGACTTTTCCAGAAAGCATGTTAAAGTTTGCTGTGCCCCTTCAAGTGTCTTTTTACTAATACAGAAGCTATATATTTCTAAATTTTGGTCAGCATGCCTTTAGCCTAGAGTCTTTATCTATAATGTTAATGTTTTATAAGCACTTTGAAAGATTTTGGCATGCTTTGGTTTTCTTTTCCAGCATTCATTTATCTTTAGCGATGAATTTTGGCTGGCATTGATAAATAATCTGGCAACTCAGAGTTAAAAAAATGTTGGTAAAACAGCAAGTAAAATCTTCAGGGTTAAGAGCTCATTATGGGAGCTCACGGGACACAACAAGAGAGTCCGATCTGGCACCTGGCTTTCATTGGGTACAGGGAGGTCTTCCTGATAGTCATTCTTACGATGGGAGAAAGGAGTTTCTCAGATAATGAGGTACTAAACTTTTTTGGAGTTTGAACATAATAACGAACACCATACATTTTTGATAGTTTGTGTTATGCCTTAGAAGACTGACTGTTCTCTGACTTTGCATTAGTATCTTACATGATTCAGTATGAAATGTACCTCGCGTACTCCTTCAAATTCTTTTCAAATAAGGAGAGACACTTAGAGGGCTGAGAGAGGTGCCAAGGGGTTTTGAATGTTCAGCATTACCATTTGCCATTCAATTTACTTCAACTTTACGATAACTGTGGAGATAATAATTCCTTGTAAAGAAGAAATGCATGAAAGGAATACACTTGAGGTGTGTGTGCAGTTTCTTTATTAAGCAGAAGTTGTGATCCAGATCAGTATTTTTATTACTTTTGACCTGTTCTTCAGCACCTTGACTATTCTCTGAACTGTTTTAAAGCCACATGCTGTCTGTGTGTGGTATCTTGAGAAATCCTGAGGCACTGTGGGTTTTTGGAAGGCAGAAGAGATATTACCCGTGTTTTTTCTGTTGTTTTCACAGTGTTGCTAATCTGCCTGATGAAATATTTGACAAAGTGTTTTCCTTCTCTTCCTCCCCTCTGAGAAAGGTTAAGTGGTATCGAAATGTAGGTTAACCTGGAGACAACTTTATTGGCAGTATGAAAAGCAAAGCATCTTGTTGCTGATGTTAGTAACTGTAGTTTGGAGCAGCAGAGAGGGCTGAAACTTTTGCAAATAGATGATTTCATACAGTCCTCAAAATCATGGGAAAAAGGGAGATGGAAAGGCTGTAGGTGAGGACTGAAGGGTTAAAGAGATGAACCCCATGAGAGGAGGATGACTTCACTGCTGGAGGAAGCAAGGTCAGTGGTCGGAAGTCCTCCCTGTGCAGGAGAAATGATGCCTGCCACTGAAGCGCTGCTAGCACGGGAAATTGTAATAAAGTGACTCCGGTAACTTTTAATTGCGGCAAAGATCAGCCTTAAAGTTAACAAAGGTGAAAGACACCAGCAGCTGTTGGAAGACTGTATTTGAACCTGTCACCAGGCACTGAAGGCAGCTTTGATCTATACTTGGAATACCCTCATAGAGGTGAAGTTCATACGCAGTGGTACTCAAAAGTAAAGATGAGATACCCAGCTAAAGTGTACATGAAAAATTTATGCCCATGATCTGATTGTGTCCGCAGGGAGAAGAATTAAAATGAACACAAAGCATGTTTAAACATTGAGTAAAATGTACCATCACCTCCTTTCAGTCTTTAAGCTACTCAGGGCTAGAAACAGTGTTGCTTGCCATTGGAAATCTTGGCATTATCTTTTTTAAATAATGTGAAATTCTGAGGAAACTTTTCACCTTTTCAGGTTTGAGTGTTTACTTCTCTTTAGACTTAAGACAATGACTTTTTGAGGGATAAAAAGGGCGTTCAGTGGAAAAGAAAAGCATTGTTTGGCATGTTGATGTGGGCAAACATGTTTTTTGGAGTTTCTCAGAGGTCTGGAATGTTTCATGTCCTTGAGAGAGGGATTTGTGGGCAGGGGGCAGCCCAGCCAGGTGTGGGAATAGGCTGGAGGTGGCCAGGGCATGGCTCTGCAGGCCAGCCACCACATATCTTGTGTTATGCAATGCCTGTTTCTCAAGGCAGTATTATTTTATTCCTGGGGCAAGCCTTGCAAATGATGTCATGATGTCAAAATGTAAAATGTATATATGCATGTAGGCATGAGCCAACAAAAAGTCTTGGAGTGGGACATGGGAGTGGAGAGGTTTTGAAAAGAGAAGAAAGCCTGTTGAAACAGATCCAAGTCATAGAGATACATGTGTCTGAGCGAGGACAGTTAGTAAAAAAGTATCCTCTAACATAAAGTGGAAGGTGAGTAACTGTTTGTTGGTATCATACTGGTATTGCATTCTATGCTTCTTTTTTTTTCCCCCCAAAGAAATGTAACATATATAAGGGTGTATTCAGATGAGAAGCCTTTGTTTACAAGCATGCACATGATAGAAGTTCAGCCGAACCACAGAACTGAAGAGCTGTTCCACCCTGCGAGTGTGCCCACTAATCATAGATCAGTAAAGCCCCCCTGGGTATCACTAATCCTGATTCTGCAAAAACTCACCTTATGTGGCTGTGGAAGCTATTTTATTTATTTTCCAAGTTAATCCAGCTCAGGGCTCGAGTGGCAGTAGCATATCCTCTTAAGTGTAGGCATGAAAGCTCAGTGTGGACAGCTGTTTTAACATTCCTGGCTGGAAGTCCTGCTCTCAAAAAACATATTTGATGCTTATACATAGTCTCTTGGCTGCCTACACTTAAGTTCATCTGTCAGGGTGGCACAGCGCCAGTTTACAAGGTGGTATGTCATTTTTAGTAGGACAAAGATGCCAAGCA